CAAGGTTGACTCAGGCTTCCATCCTTCCGTGGTGGGTAAAATGAGGACTCAGATTGTTGGGGGCAATATGCTGATTCTGTAAATGGCTTAGAGAGGGCTGTAAAGCACTGTGAAGCGGTATACAAGTCTAAGTGCTATTGCAATTGCTATATGTATGATATGATTCTACTTTGCGTCATCAGTCAATACCATTTGCCTGCAAACAAGAACTAGTAAGACCACAAAATTGCCAAAATAATAGAAAATGAAGAAGCTAAAGTGCTCTGGGATGTTAGAATGCAAACAGACAAATACCTGCCACATAGCACCCCACAATTGTTAAAGATAAGATAAGAAAAAAACCTAGATAATGGACCTGACCGTAGCTGAAGTCAGCCATATAGAACAAAAAGAACGGGAGAAAATCCCAAAATACAAAGACTTGCAAATTGAAGTAGAACGACTGTGGCAAAATAAAGCAGTGATAGTACCAATAATAATAGGTGTCTTGGATGCAATCCCAAAATGTTGGAAGCACCACTTGAACACCATTGGTATTGACAAAATCACCACCCGTCAATTGCAAAAGGCAATGACTCAGAGTACCTTGCATCCTGTGACAATGGCATTAGCATTACTGAACATCAACATCTGCTGATTCCAGGTCTTTAAGAAGGACATGTTGATAGGTGGACAAAAATGCCAAGTTCAGTGTAAACATCTGACTTGACTCTGTCACTAACCATAATAATAGAAATGGTGGCGATGCAGTTATTGCAGGCTAACTCTGCCCACTGCCAGAAATTTCATCCTAACGGGCTCAAGGTTAACTCAGCCTTTCATCCTTTGGTAAAAAGGTAAAATCCTTCCATTCTTTGGTAAAATGAGGATCCAGATTGTTGGGGGCAATATGGTGATTCCGTAAACCGCTTAGGGCTGTAAAAGCATATAGAGTGGTACATAAGTGCTATTGGTAATAAGGTATTTGTTGTAAAAGATTTGTATTTCTAATTTAAAAAGGACATATTTGAATAACTTAAGCTAAAAGTTCTGAGTGATACTTTGACCTAATAAGATATTTTGCACAGCGGTTTCTCAAGACGGAGCTGAAGTACTAACTGTTAGGAATATAATCTAACGGTTGGGTTGGCAATATATAAATCATGTACCAATGCTGTACCTGTTTCTTTAAATCATACTGTAAAATATGATTGGTTGCTGTTTACCTCAGTCAGCCATAAGAGGGAGGCAGAATACCTGTTAGCTCTCTGTTTTGTTAGATGCTGGGCTGATCTGATCTGAGTGTTTTGGAAGCTGGCTGTTAGAAAGTGCCGTGAGCTATTGTAAGTTTTGTAA